AACCTTATCAATATATAAAAAAAAAACATAATTATTTTCCACTTATTGGTTAAGTAATTATGGCTATGTGCCTTCTTCATCCATGGATGTTATTGGTCGAACACAACAAAATCTTTGCACCATTAACTCGGAGAAAACAAAAAGGAACCGTGTGAGAGCAACGATTCACGAAATGACAGCTTTTCAGACAACTAGACCAACAAATCACTGATCATGTAGCTTTCGCTCATCAACTACTTCTAATAGAATATGTATACCATATGAGTAATGATTTGTAGAACATTTCGTGTAAAAGTGTGTAATGAATAGTGTGATGTAGTGATAAAAAGCATAGTACTATTGTTAAAAAAAATGACATTAAATAATGAGTTTAACTTTCTTTTTGTAATGTTATTTTTTTGATGAGTTGTAATGCTATCCTTTATACTATTAATTTCAATAAATAGTATAACATATATGGTTTTTTTGGGTTATTCTACTTGTTAATCAAGGGGAAAATTATTCAAAGTCCAATGATTAAGTTGTGCACTTAAAGTAGGCAAGAATTCTCTGTACAACCTTCCAATTAATGCATTTAACAAGTGATGTTGAACCGTTCCCTCAAATTTCGAAAATTCTAAACCCTAAACTAATTAAAACTCGAGAAATTTGTAAGAACTAGACAAAAAAGGATTAGTCTATGATGAATAAGACTGAAGAGAAACCATAACATGTAAGTTGGCCTAACAGCCTGGATATGTGGAACCCCGCTCTATAAAGAATAAATAGTCTCAAAGAATGTTATAAAATATTTATAAAGAGTAATTTTTTGAATTTTGAATTTTTATTTTACAAATTTAAAATGTGATTCAATTGTACATTTGTAATTAAAATTAGCTAAGGAAATATATTATTAATTAATATTTAATACAGAAGAATTTTCAATAATAACTAATTTAAAAAAAATGCAATATGATAGAATGACACGAAGCCATGAATATATCTTGTTTTTTTTTTTTTTTTTTAAATAATCTTGGTATTGGAGTGAAGTATATATCATATATTCAAAGTAATGATTAATCTTTGTTAGTAATTATGAACACAATTATACAAAATAAACATTTTTCTCTCAACATTTCATAAGATATGCATTACTTAACTTAATTATTTACTTAAAATTGCCATAAAAATAAAGTTTAACATAAGAGTTTTGAATTTTGTTTTGTTTTGTGCATATAGTCAATAACAATAACAAAAATAATATTTTAAATATTGAGCAAACTATCCAAACTTTTCACTATTCTCATCCAGCACGCATAAGAAAGTAAGAAAGCCATAAAAGAAACATTCTTTTAAGTTAAAAACAATTTAGTCTTTGACTTTTTTATTAAAAAAATTCGTGTCAATTCTTAATTTTATAATATGTCATTAATCTTAATTTTTATGTAAAATAAAAAATGAATAAAATAATACTTTTTATAAATTTTAAAAAAAATTCAAATCTCACGTCAATTAAAGATAAAATAATTAAATAATATATAAATGGGAAAATAAAACTCATCTTATAAACTATTTTTTTAATGTTGAATTAGACTCTTAAGTCATTTTTTAAGAAACATTAAAGACAAATTTTAAAAGTTAAAAAATCTAAATTATACAATATCGTAAAGTATGATTGGGAGATATTGTAAAGGGAACGACTGTGAATTGATTAAGGGGATCCACGTAAATAGCGGACCGCAGGTGCAAATATTAATTTCTTAAAGATTATTTGATTTTTTTTATTTATTAAAATTTAGCATATTTATATATTATTCAACATTTTATTTCATCTTCTATTTTATTGCTCTCTCCCTGGCTTAAAGCAAAGTAAAAACTAAAAAAAGAAAAAGAAAAACCTTAAATTTGTATTATTTTGCATGAAGTTTTCTAATTTTTTTTTTCCTCCACCGACCTCAAAACTTTGCCGGCCAAAGTCAAATAACATAGATGTTCAAAAAGTGGTCAGCGGAAGGTAACCTTTTTACAAATTTTGTTTTCTTCTTCCTCCATAGACAAATCATACATTACATGCTGCAGATCTATACAGTAACGTTTACATATTTGTCAATGTTCACGTCAACCTTGCGTGATTGACTCTCATTTTCAACCTATCATTTCTCAAACAAATTAATGATGTTTACACGTACATAATTTAAATTTTTTTAAAGGAATATTGAAATGAGAAATTCTACTTTTAACCGTGCTTTTTTTATACATTAACAAAACTAAAAAGTAAAAACAACTCAGCAGCTAAGAAGGTAAGATCATGTCCCGACTCAAAGTAACAAGTGCTTCCCTTAATTATTGTGAGCTCTTACTTTAGCCAAAATGTTAACTTCGTTCCTATCATGAGAAGTGTTGGTGTAGACTAACCATATGAACATCTCAAGTATGAAAGATATGAACCAGCTCCAAGCAATCACACTCCCATATTTGACATTCAAGGTTTCGTTTGGGTTTGTATATTTGACATGGTAACTCATTATATTTTTATTGATCTAAAAAATAATTGTTACAAAACAACTTTATTTACCAGGTACCATGCATAATAATTTTCAACTAAACTATATATTTATTTTTATTTTACTACCTAAAATAAAAGGTTCATCCACCACGTGGAATTAATGCTCTGAAAAATGAATTTTGGGCACATGATATTATATTAAAAGAAATCCGTAAAGAAAGAAAGAAGGTAGGATTGAATATGGTTGTTACGTTTATATATCCAAAAAGGTTTGGATTAATTAGCTTATTTGGAAAGGGAAGGAGGGGAGAAATGAATGGATGGTGATGTGGTTAGGCATTGAGGGCATGCATATGGGTAAGTTAATTAAAAATGGAGAAAGAAGGTGTTACCTTTATTTGAGTGTAAGTGTGACATAAAAAGCAGAAACAAGGTAGTTAATGCAGATGGGCTACCCTCCCACAGTTACCTACTTGGAAGCTAACTCCTACCAAAACATACATAATTTTGTGTGTGGCTGCGTACGTAAACCAATCAAAGTCAAAACAGAAATTCCGAAATTGGTCATTCCTGCGTTCACATTCTCTATATATCACCCTCAACCCTCAATTCTTCTTTCTCTGCATCATTCCCATCCACTGCTACTGTTTCTTTCGTCGTTTGTTATCTGTCGCTGTCTTATGCCTTTCCAATTTCCCTCTCTATTTTATTAACTTTTCTCATCACATTTTTTTTTGTTTTCTTTTGGATTCTGTCTTTGTCATTGATCATGCAGCACCGTCAACTGTTAAGTTATTGTTTTTCTTTACCGGATCATGTTAATTGTCTTTCCGCACAATACCAAAAGACAGACACGCTCCAAAAGCTTTGTAAATATATTATCCTTTTTTTTAAGTTGTTGAGGTCATATATCTTTAAGTTGTCCTTTTTCTTTATCTTGTCTCTTCAGTTATATATTAAGGGTTTCTTTTTCTTATAGAAAATCTTTTTCTTTTATTTATCTTTTCATTTTTATTGGGACTTCTAATTTTTTTAATTAAATATGAGGACTCTATTACTATAAAGGAATGAAATCAGTAGATAATCACTTTGAACGAATTTTTAATCTAAAATTATTTACTCTCTATTTTATATATTTTTTATTTCTTTCTAATATACTAATGTAGAACTTTCTCTCCAACAATTATAATAAAATTAAGTTATTTATCATATTCATATTTCTCTCTCAAATTCTAATAAGTTGTTGGTCTGATTAATATTATACTGGATCTTTTTAAATAAATTTGAGTTTTATAAATGAAAAAAAAATGTAATTGAAAAGAGAGATTATACTATAAGTGGACAAACAAGTTCTTTGATAAAAATTAGTCATCAACAAAATCGATGATAAATACTTCATTTATTCTCATTATAAAGGGGATATCATCATTGTATGTAATTATTTTTTGTCTCTATTTTTTAGTAGATTATTATATCTTTCAAATATTAAATTTTTTTTTGAATAATCATCCACAATAATCTAATATTTTGTCTATTAACTGTTAAAAATACGAAATGTCTCGACCCATCTCATATTAATAACATAATTCTAAAAATAATATTTGCTCTCAAATACTATTGGGAAAAACCCAAGTCCCGCCAATCCTAGATCATTAAAAAGGGCCACCTACCATTTATCCACGTACCAAGCTCAATAGTGCTGGACGTGAGGGGGTGTATTGGGAAAAACCCAAGTCCCACATCGACTAGAGATTAGGCAATTGAATAATATATAAGTGGAAAGCAACCCTTATCTTACAAGCCGGTTTTGTAGGGTTGAGTTAGGCTTAATCCACTATTCTAACAAATACATATAAAAAAATAGTTGAACCTTACAAGATGGATATGACTTGTAAAAGGTAATGCTATTTTCTTAAAAAAAAATTGTGGATACCAAAGGTAAATAGAACATGCCATTCAAAAGTCAAAAGTTAGTAGTATTTAATTTGTTCCCGTTCTGTTTGCGAATCTGATTTTGGAATCAGATGGTTTGGCAATGAGCACGCAAAGACATTAGTCATGTATTTATCGAAGAGGGAGCGTCCAACGTCAAAGCCTTTTTATTTTTTTTATTTTTAAAGGTTTTCTTGAGTTTGTAATTGGACCCATTAGATTCATGGGTTAGCCCACTAACATACATTATAATCCATATGATTAACATATTAAATTATTTTACATATATTTGAAAATAAGTCTCATTATAAATAATTTTGTTTAAACTGTTCAAGAATGAAATTAGTTAAATTTATATGCATTCATCCCGCAAATAATCTGCCACTTTTACGAAATAGAGCGTCATGCTAAAAAATTAAATTTTTTTTTAAATCTCTGCTGCAAAAAGTGGTTGGGCCATCAAATAAATGACTAGTAAGAAAGTGGGCCGGAGCGGCCCGTTTGCGTGGTCTATATGTTTTTTTGATGCTCTGAGCTGAGGTCTCTGCTATATGACATGAATATTATAAAATATAAATATAAATGTTAAACTGAAATTACAATAGTTGAGAGCTGAGAGGAAGGTGAAGCGGAGATGGAGGAGAGAGAGAAATCCGATAAGAGAAGCAGAGATCGTCACTCGCAACGCCACCGCCAGCATCGATCGGACAGAAATCACAAGCGCGAACTCAAATCTAGGGTTAGGTCGAAGGTGAAGCGCGATGAAGAGAGGGAAGATTCGATGGAACCGCATTCTCATAAGCGGAAGGAGAGGGAGCACAGCGCGGATGAGGAAATTAGGGTTTCTGAGGACAGGAGGGAACGGAGGAGGTTTGGGGATAAATTCAAGAAGGACGAATCAGAACAAGAAGAAGCAGACGGCCATGATACTATTCATGACCCCAATGGAGCTCATGCCTCTGCATCTTCCCTAAACGTTAGTTTTTTTTTTTTTAATTTATTTTTTTATCTTTTCTACTTTTCATGCTTATAATAATTACATTGTAATATGCCTGTTTTATTAGTGTTCCTCGTGTTTTAGAATATCACGTCAAATTGTAGGGTTGTTTGCTTGCTTTCAGTTACTGCTACTGCTTACTGAGCTAGAATGGGATTGCTAGTTTACTTGACACACTATGAGATAATCCTAGTAGTCACTGATAGGTGGGTTTGCATGAGAGATGTCTTGTTATCTTTTTGTGTCCCTAATTGTGATTTCTGTTGATGGAATACTTGAAGAGGGACGCTTATTCACGGGCGTTTTATCCTTGCTCTTTCAGGGTGCACTGGGATCGCCTGCTGTGGCACCCACGAGTGTGCCCGAGACATCTTTGGCTCCTCCTTCCTTTCCTATCAAGGTATCTTCGATTTTTACCACAAATGAAAATAAGGGTGTTAGTATTACCAGGTCTCATGAGGTTACTGGAAAATCTAGTACAGATGGGCCATCTTCAACTGCGGGAAAAACTGGAAGCCTCTCTATTGATGCCCTAGCTAAGGCTAAGAAAGCTTTACAAATGCAGAAAGAGTTGTCAGAAAAGTTGAAGAAAATTCCTCAGGTCAGTTGCCCTTTCTTTTTTATTAGTATCAGATGGGTATTTCTCTTTTGAGACTGATTTATTTTATTGCAACTATGTTTGTTCCTCTGAATGCATTAATTGCTGTACTTTTGGTTGTACAGTTGAATAAGAGTTCTACCCAGAATTCACAAGGAAGCTCAAAGTTGGGTTCAAAGAGTGAATCTACAGTGCCCTCTTCTGGTGCTGGAGTGGTATCAAAAGTTTCCAACTCAGTTTCTTTGGGCCATGTTGCAAATATGTCAATTTTCCCCTCAACAGCATCTGCTGCTTTTGGAAATCCTCAAGCCAGTGGCACTAGTGCTGCTGGTATTGCAACTCTACCTGAAGCTGTCAGGCGTGCTCAGGAGTATGCTGCCAGGATAGCATATGGTCAAGATCCACAATTTGCTCCTCAAATAAATATATTTCCCGGTCAGATGGTAACGGATGTTGCTATCCCACAGAAACCCACCAAGGCCCCTGTTCTTCGTCTTGATGCTCAGGGACGGGAAATAGATGAACATGGAAATGTTGTTAATGTGACTAAGCCCAGCAACCTTAGCACATTAAAGGTGTGCTGTTATCTTAGTTGTCGCTCTTTACTGGTTATATTTTTCTGTTTGGGATTTCCGTTGTAATGCTGAAATCTGTGCCTGAACATTTCAGGTCAACATTAACAAGCAGAAGAAAGATGCGTTTGAAATACTAAAACCTGTATTGGATGTCGATCCTGAAGCTAATCCTCATTTTGATGCAAGGATGGGTATCAACAAAATGAAGCTCCTGCGGCCCAAGAGGATGAATTTCCAGTTTGTGGAGGAAGGGAGATGGTCAAAAGATGCTGAAACAATAAAATTGAAGGTATTTTTATCTGTCCATCCCCTTCTCCCACTCTCTAGTGAATTTCCTTTTTACTTATTTGATTGCCTTGTATGTGCTTTGTTTATATTATTTGACTCGTGCAGAGTAAATTTGGAGAAGCTCAAGCAAAAGAGCACAAGGCCAAACAAGCACAGCTGGCAAAGGCAAAGGCTGCTCCTGATATAAATCCAAACTTAATTGAAATAACAGAGAGAGTTGTAATTAAAGAAAAACCCAAGGACCAAATTCCGGAAATTGAGTGGTGGTAAGTTTATGTCTACCTGGACTCCTGCTTTCTATGTAAGTTTTATTTGTAAAAGTGTAAGGATTGTTTTATGGGTGTTATTCGAATATCATAAATGTTGGTAATTCAGATTTAGTCAGTATACTGTTTATCACAAATAAGTTCTTCTTTTTCTGTTGTTTGCAATAATTTTTGTTAAAGTTAGAAGATACAAAGAAACTGGAATAAACCAGCCTGCCTGTTTGAAAAAATAAAGACTTCTAGAGTACTAGTTGAATAGAAAGCATGAAAATACCATTGATAGTTGGTAAACCTTACCGAACAATGAACTATTTGATGAGTGTCTATTTGTGAATCTAGTATTGCCTGTCTTGTGGGTAACTTTTGTTTTGATTTTAAGAGCTGCAAGATTAGAAGCAGACGAGCAAAATAATTGCCTTGTACCCAGTTCATGTGTTTATATTTGTTTAATTTACTATTTGAATTTATCAGGGATTTGCCTCTTCTGCAATCTGGAAATTATGGTGATATTGATAATGTAACCATAGGTGAAGAAAAACTGAAAATGGAAAAAATCACTTTTTATGTGGAGCATCCCCGTCCTATTGAACCACCTGCTGAGCCTGCCCCTCCACCACCTCAACCACTCAAGCTAACTAAGCAAGAGCAGAAAAAGCTCCGGACGCAGAGACGTATAGCTAAGGAGAAAGATCGACAGGAGATGATAAGACAGGGTGTCATAGAACCACCAAAACCAAAGGTCAAGATGAGCAATTTAATGAAAGTACTTGGCTCTGAGGCAACTCAAGATCCTACTCGTCTTGAGAAGGAAATACGTAGTGCAGCTGCTGAGCGTGAACAGGCTCACATAGATAGGAATATTGCACGCAAGCTTACTCCTGCTGAGCAGAGGGAGAAGAAGGAAAGGAAGCTGTTTGATGATCCAAATACACTGGAGACACTTGTCTCTCTTTACAGGGTAAATGATCTCTCAAATCCAAAGGCTCGCTTTAGAGTTGATGTTAACGCTCAAGAGAACCGTTTGACTGGATGTGCTGTGATTTCCGACAGTATAAGTGTTGTTGTGGTTGAAGGGGGAAGCAAGTCAATTAAGAGGTATGGGAAACTCATGCTTAGGCGTATTAATTGGAGTGAGGTTTCAAAAGAAAAAGAAGAAAATGAAGATTCAGATGATGATAAGCCTGTCAATAAGTGTGTTCTGGTGTGGCAAGGAAGTGTTGCCAAACCCAACTTTAATAGGTTCAGTGTTCATGATTGCATCACTGAAGCAGCTGCCCGTAAAGTTTTTGTGGATGCCGGTGTTCCTCATTATTGGGATCTAGCTGTGAACTATGTAGAAGATGAAGCTGTTTGACTTGTCTTCTAGTGTTTTTGTTCTGTTATGGCCTGCCTTGGCCGAAGTCTTCTGGTGAGTGATCTGTTTTACGATTTGCATTCAGCAGTATTTTAAGCAAAAATAATAAACACGATAGCTGCTAGTGCTCCTATGTTTCCATGGGCCAATGATTATGAAATTTGCTAGGTTAATTAGTGGTGTACATTTTTTCATATCGGTTTGGATAGCATCCATTCAGAGATACACAACATTCGTTTAAGATTTAAGCCTTCGGGATTATACTTCCATTTTGTTTACTCTTTTAGATGTTTCGATCAATAGGTGCTAAACATAGAGTATTCCCCTCATGCAGTTCTCAAGTTCTTCAGGCATGGGATTTCTGATGTAGAATGCAAATATATTCTGTTGTTGAGGAATGCAACCTCAATCGGGTTTGGATAAGCCGCAGGGATGGATCTTTTTATTTAATTATTTTATATTTTTTACAATTTGAATTTACTCACTTATTTTTATATGTGTTATTAATTATATTCTAACTCTAACTACTTATTTTACCCTTAATAGCTCCAGTTAATTTTTAATAATTACACAAACTCCTAGGAGAGAGATTTGTTATTTCCTCCTTTTTTAACATAGGCAGGGAGTACCTTTTCTACCAGCAGTAAGAAGTTACATTTTCAAACCTGAACTCGAATCTATTTTGAAAATGTCGAGCTTGCTTAAAGCTGATTTTTTCTCGTCAAATTAAGGTCGGGTTAGATAACATAATACATACAAGATCAAATTTACATGCCATGTGTAATGATATTTGACGAATGAGATAAATAAATCAGTAATTAATTAAGAAAAAGACAAATCACTTATTCTTTTAAAAATTTATTCAATCTTAATATTGTCTGTAAGTTAAATAATCTCTTTTGAGTTTTTATAAATTAAAGTTTTAATTAACAATATTTTTTGGACTAAATTAAGGACTTTAATATCTATATTTAGTCTTTCTTGATTTACTCGTGATTTAAAATGTTATATAAATATAATCAGTTATTCTTTATTCATTCAATTCTCATATTGATTAGAACATAATAATAATAATAATAATAATAATAATAATAATAATGTTGTCACAATTATTATGATACACTTGAATAATTATGGTGGGTAACTATTATTATTATTATTATTATTATTATTATTATTATTCTTTGGATTAAAAATTGATTTTCTCTGCCTTTTTTATTTGAAAATTTTTATTTTAGTTAATTTGTTGATTTGTTTAAATTTGTTACACAATTTTCACATTATACTTGGTTGATGGATAGTCACACTTTACTAGGGCATATTAGTTTTTAATTCCTAATTTTTGGACATTACATGGATTATGTTCAAGGATCAAAAACATATGTCATGATGGATGTGAGAGGTTAAAATAAGTTTTTTTTTTTCAAATTACACAGATTAAAAAAAATAAATTTAAGAAACAAAAATAAATTATTTTAAGTTCAAGATATTAAAAATATTTATAAGTTAAAATTATTACTATCATCATTTTTATCATTATCGTTGTCATTATTATTACAATAGTTTTCATTATAATCATTATTATTGCTATTATAATTATCACATCATTATTATTATCATAACAATAATTATTAATGTAGTTACGATCATTATTATTATTGTTCATGTTGTTACCACTAGAACAATTTTCAATGCCAATATTAATTATTGTACCATGTCTCTTTGGGAAATTATTAAATAGTTTAGACTATCAAGTATTAATGGTCCCAACTAATATTTACATGACATGTATTTAAAATTTTTAAATTTACAAAAAAAAAATCAATAACAGTTGATTATAAATTATATTAAGAGTTAATCATCCATATACTAGCAGTGTAAAGCTTTTTATACTGAGAACCAATCATATCTTTTAAATTATTTTATTTATTTTTATTTGATTAAATAAGCAAATGACATGACACTGTTAAAAAATATGATTAATTGTCGGTGTAAAAAAATTTTATACTGACAATGTATAAGTGATTAACTCTTATGTTAATATTAGTTTCTTTCAATAAAATTATATTGATATTAGTTAGGGATCGTATATCCAAGATTAGCTAATAATTTTTTCTTTCTTTTCCGCCCATTCATCACCATATCAACTTGAATTAAAATATAGAAAGTGATTAATTTGGCATTAAAATTTGAAGAAAAAAAATGAAACTGAAAATTATAAAATAAAAGTGGTTTCAACTTTTAAAAAATTTAAAATTTAAAACAAACAATTATGACGAACAATATTTATACTTTGTCTTTTTTTTTAAAGGCTTAATACATCATAAATTCCTACACTTTTTTTTTGTTGAATATTTTTAATTTGATCCTTATATTAAAAAAATGTAATTGAGTCTTTAATTTTTTTTCAATTTTATTGATGAGTTTTTAGAGTTAGTTAATTTTAAGGATTGAATTAAAAAATTGTAAAAAATAAGGACTCTATTATATTATATTTGTTATTATGCAGAGACCTAATTAATTTTTAAAAATATTTCGCTGACATGCGAATATATTAAAACATTTAAAAATTCAAAAGATACAAGAAAAAAAAAAAGTCGGGTTGAGAATGCAAGATACTAATTTGATTATGTGATAGCGACGCGAACCACTTCTTGTAATTAACGACAAAATTTACTTTATTTATTTGTCACTTGTTTATTTAATTTAACGTTTAAATTTAAACAATGTTTCTAATTAGTGACACTTAGATTAGTTATAATCTGTTATCTCGTCAAAAATTTGTTCTAATATATTTAGTGACGGAATTGTTAACATTTGTAGACAAATTTCTTCCCTTGCTAGTTAATAATTAATGTATATTTTCTCAAATTTTAACCTTAGATTATTTATATTTATAATTCTTAATTTTCATGTTAAAATAAAACTTTTTGTTTGATCAAGATTATATATAAATTAGACTTATGTTGACTTTATATTATTCAGGAAAAAAACTCAAATTTTAGATTTAAGCTTTCAATATCTTTTTGATTGCTTAATTTTATTAATAAGATTAACAATTGATAACACAAAAAATTTGATAATCTTATAATTTAAGTTAACAATATTTATATTATTTTATGGGACTGCCTTATTTTAATTTTGGAAAACCTATCTCCATGATTTGAAGTTATAGCTAATCTTTCCCTCTAATATTTTACAAAGGAGATTTTTTTCTCCTATTTTGTCTCTGAAGAAGCTTTGGAATACAGGATCTTTAGTTTTCTTTTTTGACCACTAAGGATACACTAACTATTGCTTTTTCTTATATACTTGCCTTGATCCGGCATTGTTGGTTGAGTGCAGATGTAGTGTCCTGGCAATGAAATATGCAACAATTTAATTTGTTAAAGTCAAAATTGTTTATCTCAATACAGATCTTATAAACCAAGCCTCATGCCTGTAATGTGTCTTGAGTGAGATGAGAGGTCAATATGAAGTTTTTAAATTCAATTCTCTTAGTGTTAAAATAATATCTTGACAACAAAAAAATGTCATGTTTTATGAACATATATTTTTCCTTAATTGGTAGTCTTGAGATATTGTGTGACCAAATAAAAAAAATATTACAAATCTCCATCATAATTTGCAGCATCCGTTTTGCTTTAGTCAAAATATATATTATTGAATTTACATAGTTGACCCATAGGGTATGGATATGAACTACAAGTCTACAAGTATATAAACATAAAACATATTGTTACTTGAACCTTCTATAAAATCAAAACATTTCATGGCCATAACATAACCACCAAACATTATGCTTAATTAAAACCTCTCCATTTTTTACCCTAGCCAATATGGCTGCAAGTTCTCCCTATCTGTCCTTTCACGGCTTCGAACTAAAGCTTTGCTTGGTTTTTATTGCATGTCTTATTGGGACAACTTCATCTTAATTACACCCTAATTTCTACGACGAAAAGTGTCCTAATAAAGCCCTTACCATTATATATTAGGCAATGGAAGAGTTTTGCGCCATGAGAGACTCATCGATTACATGCAAATGTTGTGTTGCATGTTTACAATCCAAGCACGTTCAAGAATGATTACTAGTCTTTAAATGACATCTAATTGATTCATTTGTTTTGACGTACGTGCATGCAAGCAGGAATGTGATGCATTATTGCTAAACCACACGCCAAATTTTAGTGGCGACAATAATTCATTTTCTAATGCTAACTCCCTTAGGGGTTTTGAGGTCATTTCGATCGTCCAATAATGTTATCTATTTTATGTTCTATAATTTATATCGACCTTTGAATTTTTAATCCAAAAAAAACAAGTGAACACACAGTTGCCAAATACGAATTTTATTTTTCTGTTTTAATGATATAAATTATAGCTGTCTATTTTAAAAAAAAAATAATTGAAAATTTGTGATAAAACTGTTTACGATCCATTTCTATAAACAATGTTTTCACCAGTAATAGTATTAAAAAAAATAGAAGCTAATTAGCTAGTTTGTTTAATATTTTTAATAAAATAAGTACTTTTCTAAACTATTTTTTTAAGGATAAAATGGTTTTCTACTTTCATTTTTTTTTAAAAAAACTTTTCCTTGCTTCTAAAAAAATCACCTTTTTTTACATTTTTTTTATAATTTTAAATAAACTGTTTATAGTCACAATTTTATTAAAAAAAAACAGTTGATTTTATTAGAAACTATTCAAACAAGATTATGATTTTAACAAAAAACCATTATATTCTTTTAAGCTTTTAATTATTTTAAAAAACTTAAATATACACATATTATAGACTAAAAAACAAGTTATATATTTTTAAAAAAAATATTTTTCAACAAAAAATATATCAAACAAACACAATTTTTTTTTTGCATGACTTATAGGATTGAATCCAACTTCCCTTATACTTTATATCCTTTCATGTGAATTTGTGTGAGGTTGTATCTCACTTCAATATAATTTTTTTTGTAATAAAAAAAACACTTAATGTTAGACACACACAAAACTCTTATGTATGTTGATTTTTCAAGTATTACTTAATTTTTAGATTTAAGCTTTTATATATATTTTTTTGGAGATGAAATTCCAATCTTTGATTAAGGGGTACAAATGTCAAATCATTTTATATACTTTGCATTATATTTTGATTGCATAATTTCTTTTAATAATATTCAGCAAAAAATCTTTTTAATAAAATTAAAAATTGTTACTACAATAAAATTTATCACCTTATAACTTAAGTTAACTATATTTAAATTATTTTAGGGGTATACGATACTTTTTTTGAGCGAATGATCGGAGACATTATGGAATTACCTTATTTTAATTTTGAGTTGATAATTATTTGGCCTTTGAATTCGGAATGTGTTGTCATTTTAATTTCTAAAACTAAAAAGATATCAAATAAAATTCTTAAAATTGTAAATTCAAAAACATATTACATATATTAGTCAAAAATTAAAAGAAAATAAACTTGTTACTAAAGTAATAATATTAATTATATTTAAAGATCAAAATGATAAATTAAGAAATTAATTTATTTGTCATTTTTTTTTTTAGATTATAAGGACTATAATGTGATAGTACTCAGAAGAAAGGAAATATTTTCTCCTATTTTGACTATGAAGATGAAAGTTTAATTAGTGCAGAACCTTTAAAATACATGATCTTTATTCTTTAGTTTCCATTTTGGCCACCAAATTAAAGACAAAGGATGAGAATCGAAGCATTCCAATGACAACCATAAACTATTAATTGCTTTTTCTTGAATCAGGCTCGATACAGCCTTTGTACGTAGGTTGAGTGCAGATGCATGCAGTGTCCTGCAATGAGATCTGCAAGAGTTTTGATAAAGTCCAAATTGCTTATCTCTATACAGCTAACCCAATTGACATTATACACGTAAAGTTTCGTGATGTCAATCATTTCATTTGAATGCCTTGACTAAGTATATTTTTTATATATATATCATATTTAAAATTTATATAAACATATATATATATATATATTAAGTATTTCAAATTTATTATAAAATAATTCAGTTTTATATATTAAATATGAAGGATTATAACTATTTTATGTAAGATATTACGTAAATTATGTCTATAAATGAAAAATATACCTTTATAAATAACCACTTTATATAAATATATATATATATATATATTAAGTATTTCAAATTTATGATAAAATAATTCAGTTTTATATATTAAATATGAAGGATTATAACTATTTTATGTAAGATATTACGTAAATTATGTCTATAAATGAAAAATATACCTTTATAAATAACCACTTGTAGTATTGTATTTTTATTTTAAAAAATAAAGAGACATAAAGTGTCTCTTTACTTTTAGTATCTATGTTAATAATAATAAAAAAATTGCTCCCCTTAATTTCCACAATTTTTATACCTATTTTACACTTGATATCTATTTAACAAAAAGGCAAAAAACCACCATAAATATTAAAAACAATAAAATTTCCATAAAATTTATCATATATAAAAAGATAAAGATTAGTCAAAGTATTCTCTCTTAGATATCATTGAATTTAGACAGTTGACTTGGAAGGTATGGACAATAGATATATATAAACTAAAAAATATATTACTAATTAATTGAATCTTCTATATAAGCCTAACATTTCATCATGGCCATAACCATCCAAACATTAATCTTTAAACCTCTCTCCATCTTGTAGCTACTACTTTGGCAATGGCTTCAAGTTCTCACTCTATGTCCTTTCCCACCTTTAAACTAATAAAGCTTTGCTTGATTTTTATTATCACAAGTCTTATTAGGACAAGTTCAGGTCAGTTATCCACTAAATTCTATGATGAAAAGTGTCCCAAAGCCCTTACCACCATTCGAAAAGCAGTGGAAGATGCTGTGCACAAGGAGAGTCGCATGGGTGCCTCCTTGCTCCGACTCCACTTCCATGACTGCTTCGTTCAAGCAAGTTTCATTTCATAGTCCTTAACATCTTATATTCTATGTTATTAAGACCAAGTTTGGATACAAGATAGAAGCATTATTGAAAACTTTTCTACTGAAAATAAAGAATATTTTTTAGTAGACAAACTCTCAAAAATACTTCTAAATTTGTATCCAAACATACTCTAACTTATGTAAGAAATTAATTGATATACCATAATGTTTTGACATATATACATACATGCAGGGATGTGATGCATCAGTATTGTTAGACGACACGACAAATTTCACTGGCGAGAAAAACTCATTTCCTAATGCTAACTCCCTTAGGGGTTTTGAGGTCATAGACAACATCAAATCTAAGCTGGAGAGAATGTGCCAAGGTGTTGTCTCTTGTGCTGACATCTTAGCCGTTGCTGCTAGAGATGCTGTAGTTGCTGTAAGTACTTATTGTACAAGAGTTTCTTATATATAAGTTAGAAGTGTTTTTGACAGTTTGTATTTAAAAAAAAACTCTTTATTTTGAGTAGAAACACTTTTGAAATCACTTCTTAAGTTATATTTATATAAACTCTAATTCAATTATTGATCAAATTATATGATTCATATACCCCACACAATATACAATGTAAGATATCTTCAATTGTGTCAGCTTGGTGGACAAAAATGGGATGTGCAATTAGGTAGAAGAGATTCAACCACAGCAAGTTTAGCTGACGCTAATTCAGACTTACCAGCTCCCTTTTTGGATCTTAGTGGCCTCACCACTGCTTTTGCGAAGAAAAATTTCACTACCCAAGAATTGGTTACTTTATCAGGTAATATATATATATATAGAATGAGAGAGAGTAATTAAAACTAGTTAAAATGATGGATATCATATAAAGAATCTTGATTTCCTATTCAGGTGCTCATTCAATAGGCCTAGTGAGGTGCATTTACTTCAAAACGAGGATTTACAACGACAGTGACATAGATTCAGCATATGCAGAACAAATGCAAGAACAATGTCCATTTGAAGGTGGTGATGACAATTTGTCTCCCTTAGATTCCAAGAGTCCATTCAAATTTGACAATGCTTTCTACAACAACTTGGTGCAAGAAAAGGGTCTGCTACACTCAGACCAACAATTGTTCACGAACAACGGATCTGGAGACACAAATTCTCAAGTTATTAGATATAGCAGAAGCATGGGGAGTTTTAAGAAGGACTTTGCAGATGCAATGTTTAAGATGAGCATGTTGACCCCACTTACTGGCTCCGACGGTGAGATTAGGGAAAATTATAGGGTTGTCAATCCACCAACCCCTATTTAGTGATCGTCAATGTATAGTGATTAATGTTCATATTAATAGGTACGTTACTTAATTTTAGGGTCTATTTTTTAAGTAAAGTCTTTGTTTATTCAAATTATGTTCAACCAGTGAGTGACCAGTGATACCTGTTAAATTCATCGTTAAGTGTAATCTAATTCAAATTATTTTACTATGATTTGTAATGAACACTATCATAAATGATTTTCTCTTATAATTGGTATAATTTGTATGACCCATGTAAAGCACTCGACAGAACACTATGTAGAACAAATAAAAATACACATTGCATAATTTCTCACTCTCCTACTCCAAAACAAAGAAGAAGATTAAAAAAAAGAAAAAAAGCACTCAAGGGAGCACCATATATCCAACCAAGCACTCAACTTTCTTTTGATTAAATTATTTGTTTTCTCTTATCTTAACCCCCAGTCCCCCCCCCCTCCCAACACGTACACATATTGTCTATAATTCTTACGTTGGTTTGTTATTTTATTATTATTATTATTATTATTTGAATGTGTTTATGTAATTTATAAATTAGTATTATTAAAATGAAGTAGGAAACAAAAAGGGTAAAAAAATGTATTAAAAAATTCAAAAGAAAAGTGCAAAATTTATAAATTAAGGTAATTATTAAAAAAATTACAAAATTTACATTGGCACCATCCATAGCGTTAGGGGCAAATTGACACATTAATTATCAATTATGACAAACAATTAAGTGAATTAACATAATGTGTAAAATTAATAAATAATAATACTCAAATGATTAGAGTTTGAAATTTTGAATCTTAACTCTTACAAATAAAAAAAATAAAATTTTAAAAAATAAAAAAATAAAAAAAGGTTAGAGAAGATGCCCAATTATTCATTATTTGTTAAACCTTGAAGAAAAATTATTTGTGAGTTTAATAGAAAATATTTTTTGATAATAAAAAAATAGTGATAAAATATACTCACGAAATAAATGAGCTAGTGAAAAAAAGTTCAAAATCATAAAAGATAAAGAAGGGGAAAAAATGTAATTAATCCCAATAATAAACAAATAAATTTTCACAAAAATGTAGTTCAGCAGCTGGCTGCATATGTGGGTGGTATTGCTATAGTATTATTTTGATTTTTGACAAGTACTAGTAGTATTTTTTAAAGGCAATTATGTTCGAAAAGAACACCTCTCTAATATTAAAATCTTGGCTCAGTGTATAGGGATTAGTCCCTTCAACTACACCTAAACCTATTGCTTCCAATGTTATATTATGATAAGATTGGGTACTAACTAATGCAGAAACGCGTTTTTTCCTATTAGATCGACGAATAAAAACACTATTTTAACATTGCACGATGTTGACTCACATGTTTAGATCTACTCATAAATTGATATATTCATCTTTGAAATTTTAATCCGGAAAAACAATACAGATTTTATTCCCATGTTTTAATTATATACATTACATTTACAGCTGTCTATTTTATAAAAAAAAATCATGAGAAAACTGTTTACGATCCATTCCTCACTATAGTACTAATATTTTCAGTATGATATATAATTTATTTTAAAACGATCTTAATTATTTATATTTCTCTTTTTTATTAATACACATCTCAATTTCTGAAATTTTCCAAAATTAACAAAATAGCAATAGTTGTCTCACTTTAATTAATTGTCCAAAATATATTTTCCTTGGAAATATTTTTATCTTGAATATCCCAAAGCATATTTAGAAAAGTGAAACGCAATGAGAGAATACATAATATATCCTTCAGTGTGGGAAAATTTACTAGTCATTCTTTCAACTTCCTTCTGTGTTTAGTTGTTTATTATAAGTGCAGAACCTTTAAAATACAGAATCTTTATTCTTTAGTTTTCATTTTGGCCACCAAATTAAAAACAAAGGATGAGAACCGAAGCATTCCAATGACGACCATAAACTATTAATTGATTTTTCTTGTATTTGGCTCTATATATCAAGGTTGAGTGCAGATGCAATGTCCTACAATGAAATCCGCAAGAGTTTTGATAAAGTCAAAATTGCTTATTTCAATACAGCTAACACATATTGACATTATACACGTAAGGCTTTGTGATCTCAATCATTTCATCTGAATGTCTTAATATATTACATTCATTATTTACCAACTTCCAACTTGAGAAAGAGTGTTGAGA